TTTCTGAAATTGAAGTTTTTTTTGTATAATCTTTCGCTCGCGGGGTTGAAATTGGGCTTTGCGACGAGATTGGGAGCGAGTAATCCTTGCTTCGTCTTCACTTTTGGAGGATTTGCTCTCGATTTTGTTTTCCTTTGCCATTGTTATTCACAATTTCAACGGAAAAAATGTGGTACACTGCGGTATTGACACGACTCGTCGGAGAAACGTCCTCAGATTCTGGGTAATCTGAGGATTTTGGGCGAGTGGTCGGAAAGACGCACTTTTGATGCTGGAGGTTCGCCGGTGATATCTAGGTTCATGTGATGAGGTTCTTTCTTTCAATTGAGATCTGAATGTATTTTTTTTTTTTGGGAGATTTGGAGAGAGTGAAAGAGTGAAAGATTTGGAGAGAGTGAAAGATTTTCAGCTTTTTTTTTGGAGAGAGTGAAAGATTTTCAGCTTTTTTTTTTAGGAGGATTAGTGATAATATGGAGAGAAGATCACTTTTCCCGAGAATCATGTGTAAGAGATAATATCAGATTGTATTTAACCGCCCTAATTATCAGATTGTATTTAACCGCCCTTAATTGTATTTAACGGTTAATTAGGCCAATTTAACCGCCCTAATTATCATTTTAATTATCCCCTAACGTAAATCTGATTAAAAAATGTTGGGTTCGTAAATCTGATATTAAATTGTGCCTAGAGTGTAAATTGTGTAAATTTCTCAAATCCCATTAAATTGTCTTCACCAGCCCAAGTCTCGAGTATATCACAGTGGCATATGTGTATATCATAGGACCAATCTGATTGCATAAAAAAACCAAACGATTTTCACTCAAAGCACGAATGAAGTAATAAGACGACCATCTCGCGTAAATACAGACTTCACATACACCTCCCTGCTAAGAGAATCATCAGATTCCCCAGCCTTAGAAAAATATGTCTGCAAAAACCAACTGACCTGAAATTGAATAATCACAATGAATTAGAAGTGACATTTAATTTACGAGAAGAGGAATATCATTAAGTTGCGCATAACTATTGAATTGGAAAAGCTTTCATGAAGGGAATCAAAGACACCACAAAGGAGACACGAAAGACACAAGCACAATAACTCAAAAAGTTGTAGCTTAACACAACATCTATCACTTACCTTTTCAAGTGCCTTCTTGAATTCGTTTGATCCAGGAAGAAAATGTTTAGCAAGCTCAACTTCCATATCCTCATCCTATAATATCATTCATAACACAATACTGAAACTAAATAACAGCTTTCAAAACAGTTTTAATTTCAAGAGTAAATTTCCCCAAGCACCACACACAAAAAAGGAGGAAAAATGAAAAAAAGAAAAGAATATATATATATATATATATATAGAATTCATCGAACATATATTTTTTTTTGGGGTTAAAAGGAAATAGACATTACCTTCTTACCAAGAGTAGAAAAATAGCCAAACCTAATAAAGGTTTCCTGCCAATCAAAAGAAATCCAACCAATCCACGTGAGCCATGGTTTCCCAAATCGAACAGTAATCAACATACAATAGTAAATAAACCATCGTCTGTATCGTAAAAACAAGGAGACGCACTCAACATACCTTAACATTATGTCCAATGGTAGCGTCAGCAACGGAGGTTGCTGGTTTCTTAGCAACGGAAGCAACTAAAGATGTGTCATCAGGCTCTACCTTTCTCTTAGCAGCTGAACCAGATTTGACTTCCTAATGGAAAGATCATTCAATAAACACTCAAAAAATATTTCCATTACAGAACAACATTCATTCATTCATTCCTTCCACACAAATATTTTCCATTGAATTCATTCAAAATCGATCCTTAGAAACGAGTATCATCCTTCTCCTGACCCAATTAAAAGCAAACCAACAACAAACATATTACTAACGAATAGTTCCTTCTGTATCATAACAACGGCACATGTTGTCGAGTTCATATAATCGAGCCATGCTTCCCCGAATTGAACGATAAAAAATCAACGCACGGCACAATAATAATGAAGCAAAATTGATCCTCAAAATCCTTTTCGTGAACCAAACCAACAACAAATATAATTACTAACTAACATATTTGTCCAACTCAATAACGAATCCAATCGAGCCATGCTTCGCCAAATCAAATGATAAAAATCAACACACAGTCATAATTGATTCGAGTCGAAATTTGAGCAATTAAATTATGAAATTAAACAAGGAAGCACCTGATCGAGAGCCTTCATGGTGTTTTGTGGTTGATCGCTTCGCTTCAAGGTAGTAATTGGAATCGCGTAATTGGAACGACGGAACTGAAATAGGTTTCTTTCGAAATTTTATTTATTTATAGCCACATGTATAGCTGGGCCTCTAATTTTTGCTCAATATGTGGAGTGTATGAGCCCGATATTTACTTCAGTCCAGATTGTATTTGGGCTTTCAAATAACTGTCACTTTTGAGGAAATTACTTGGCGCACTATAAAGTTACCGACTTTATTACATTATTACAACTCATGTATAATTTTTGCAGAGCAACTAAAGTTATATATTTTATTTGCAAACATGCCAGAAGATTAATATACAAGTTAATTTCAAAATAAATTTGGTAACAATAGTTTTTTTAAGTTGTTATCAATTAACAAAAACTGAATCCACAAATTAAGGGATAACTCCCAAATGTGATCATCATCTTCCCAAGGGTCTTCGCCCATCTTCTTCATCAGAAAAAATATTCAATGAAACTAGTACTATTATTAAAAATGATAAAATTTAAAACGAATTTTTAAGAGAACATA